GGGGCTGGAGCCTACTCTCCCAACTTGACAGGAGGAAGGATTTGTTCGGGATCACAGTTTCGGGACACATGTTTGGGAAGACTGAAGGTGTGAGACACTTGGCTATGTGTCTGCAATCAGGACGTGTCATTGTTATGGTTTTTGTTTCTTTAAGAGACAAGCCACGCCCACTCCCGGTGACCCCTGCCCTCCTCCCGCCATCTTGAATTCTCACTGTCCCCTCTTGGCACGCGTATATCTCTCTGCTTCCCCCTTCTCTGTCTCTTTCTCCTCTTCTCTCTCTCTCTCTCTTTCAGTCCCCCTTCTCCCTTCCCCCTCCATAACCCCCTGAATAAATATTCAACCTTACTCTACATGTTGTGTCTATCCATGTCTCTGTCTCCTGCCTGCCCACCATGTGTCTCCCTGCCTGGGACCAGCCACCCCTCAGGAACCGGCAGCCATCTCTGCCTGGGACTGGCAGCTCCCAGAGCCTGCTGCCTGCCTACTGCCACCAGGGACCTCCCAGCATTTTTAAAAAAATCATAAAAGTCATAAGTCACATGTTGGGGTGACTTCTGTTGCAGTCCAGCCACGATGGGTTCGTATGTTCCAGGGGCGTGTTAGATTAGGTTAGATTAGAAATGTTAGGTAGAGGAACAGGGATAAGAAAGAAATACAGAGGATAGTACCAGGAGGTATCCTATACTGAATTCACCTGCACTTATTTTTCATATGCTTTTATACTCCAATACAAAAGGAGTGGGGAGAGGGCAAGACTGCCTTTTTTTAAATATTTATTTATTTGTTTATTATGTATACAGTATTCTGTCTGCAGGCCAGAAGAGGACACCAGGCTTTATTACAGATGGTTGTGAGCCACCATGTGGTTGCTGGGAATTGAACTCAGGACCTTTGGAAGAGCAGGCAATGCTCTTAACCGCTGAGCCATCTCTCCAGCCCAAGACTGCTTTAACATGACACAAAGGACAACAGGACAGTTAGTTGCTTCAATACTTGAGATATCAAGCCATTATTTCCTGGGCAAACATTTGATGGTTTGGGCAGGAATATGCAATGAATACACCCTAGACCAAGTATCCTGTATTAATCCACTCCCTCTGTCAAAACTCCTATTTTAAGATGAAGTGGCAGGAATAGACTTGAATTCTCTGACCTTTGATCAGGGTAGAGCAGATTCACCTCTATGGGTCATCTTAATATTCAAAACACAAAGTAACCACACTCTAGGTTAGGGTTTCTTGTTTGTAGCCACACTTGTTGTCAACAACTTTGAAAGAGTAAAAATACGATCAAACTTTAGTCAAGGCGAACAAGCTCACAGCTGTTTGTCCACAAGGAAGTAGAGAGAAATAAATAATAGCGTTTGGCTTACTTTCTAATTTTCTTCCATCTAGACCCGTAGCTCATGGGATGGCACCATTCACATTCACACACATCTAGGAGACATATCTCAGTTGTAGAGCATTTGACTGTAGGGTAGCTGTGGTGATTCAAAGGAGAAATGCCCCAGTAATGGTCTTCTCTGTCCCTTTAAGAGACAAGCCATGCCTGCTCCTCCACCTTGCCCAGGCAAGCTTCCAGCCTGAGTCCCTTCTTTTTCTGTCTCCCACTCAAAGGGGCAGCTTCTGTCTCTCCCTTCTTTCCACTTTTCCCCTAACCCTCTTCTGTTCCTCTCTCTCTCTGCTCTTCTCCTCTTCTCCCCTTTATAAAGCACGAAATAAATATCCAACCTCACTCTGCATGGTGTGCCTATCTGTCTCTTGCCCCCCCGCGTGGCCGCTTTCGGATACCTGCAATGTGGTGTTGTGGCATGCCCATCTGTCTGTCTGTCTCTCTTCCTGGGACTGGCTGTCCCATCAAGGTCTCTCACCCACCGCAAGACTCCCTCCCTGTCTGGAACTTATGGCCTGGGGCAGCGACTTTGGGAACTGTGCTGTCCCTGTCAGGGATTGGCTGCTCTCAGACCCACAGCCCACTGCCACTGCTTGGGGACCTGTGACGTGGTCCCTGCTTGCCGCCACATCAGGGACCTGCAGTGTTTCTGCCACTGCACCCCTTGAGGAACCTGCAGCAGTTTTACTCAAACCGTAACAGCCCTGCCGTGCATAAGCTGCCGTACAAGAGTCCTTGGTCTAAAGTCGGTGCTGCTGTTTGGGGAGGCTCAGATGGTGCATCGCTGCTGGAGGAAGTATGTTACTGGAGGCTGGATTTGAGTGCTTCAAACCAACTTTCAGGTCATCCTTCCTGCTCTATGATGATGAGCATTAAGATGCAATCTCTTAGTTTTCTGTTCTTGTTGTCATGATGGATTCCTCTGGAGCCATAAGCCCGGATACATTCTTCCTTCCCTAAAGCTGTCTTACTCGGAGTATTTAGTACAGCAACAGAAAATTAACTACTATACTGGTTTTTCCCTGCTCTGGAAATGCCCTCATGCCCCAAGGGGAGTCCCTTATGTGGTTCTAAATCCAGTCAAGTTGACAATGAGAGTCAGTATCATCCTTTCTCCCTCCCTTCCAGAAAGATACCCATCCATTCCAGTTATGTTCTATTCCTGTGTGAGAAACTTAGTCACTACTGTATCTGCTGTAAGAGTGGCTAAAAAGGCTGGGCAGTGGGGGCACAGGCCTTTAATCCCAGCACTTGGGAGGCAGAGGCAATTGGATCTCTGAGTTCGAGGCCAGCCTAGTCTACAGAGTGAGTTCCAGGATAACCAGGACTACACAGAGAAACTCTGTCTCAAAAAACCAGCCAACCAATCAATGAAAACAAAACAGTGCCTAGAAAAATAAGATATTCATACTAGATGAGGAAATGTCTGACTCAAAACTGAGGAGTTAGGTGGACATGGTGACACGGGCCCATAATTTCCATGGTTAGGAGGCTAAATCAGGAGGACTATGAGTTCATGGCCAAACCTATGGTACATATTGAAATTTACTGTTTCTTAAAGGAGACTTTTATTATGAGCAAGACCAGAAAAAAATACCTAGCAACCTTGACCTCAGCAGGTGCAGAGTGCACCAAGTATCTTAGGCAGAGCCAGGATTGCTGTGAGAAAGCCACACAACCAAAAGCAAGCCAGGGAGGAAAGGGGATGTCTGGCTTAGGCTGCCACATCACTGTTCATCAAAGAAAGAAGCCAGAAGGGGAACTGAAGCAGGGCAGGAACCTGAGGCAGGAGCTGATGCGGAGCCATGGAGGAGTGCTCGTCACTGGCTCGCTCTCATGCTCAGCCTGCTTCCTTATTGAACCCAAGATCACCCACGGATGATGGCACCACCCACATAGGGCTGGACCCTCTCACATTATCACTAATTAAGAAAATGCACCAAAAAAAAAAAACAAACCCAAAAACAAAAACAAAAAAACAAAGGCCAGGCAATGGCGGCACACGCCTTCAATCCCAGCACTCAGGAGGCAGAGGCAGGGGGATCTCTGTGAGTTCGAGGTCAGCCTGGTCTACAAGAGCTAGTTCCAAGAAAGGCTCCAAAGCTACAGAGAAACCTGTCTCGAAAAACAAAAAAATAAACAAACAAAAGAAGAGCAACAACAAAAAAAACCCACCAGAAAATGCCCCACAGGCTGGCCTACATACTAATGTAATAGAGATATTTTCTCTTGAGGTACCCTCCTTTCAAATAACTCTTGCTGCATTAAGTTGACACAGAACCCGTCAGCACAGCAAAGAATCTTTCACGCTGCTAACTGCTCCATGAATATTCACTCATATTTATGTGGAAATGGAGCCCAGGGACAACCTTACAGAGATGGTTGGTTCTGAATGACATTGCTTTAAAAAAAAAAAAACTGAAAAAAAGAGAAACTAGCTTCAGGTTCAGAAAGAACCCGAGCAGGGAGTACAGAGAGTGCTGTGTTCCACCTGCCCCCACACTCCCAGCTTCCCCCACTTTCAATGAATAGCTCTTTATATTTACCTCATACAGGGAAAAGCCAACCTTGTTCTTAATAGTCTTTTGTTATCGTCATTAGTAAAACAAAACTTAGCTGTACACAAATCAGTTCACTATGACATAAGTAAATCTCAGTGCATGACTTTTTTCCTGCAGAGTCTTATATGTACTCCTGGCTGGCTTAGAACTTGCTACATAGACCAGGCTTGCCTCAGACTCCTATAGATCTGCCTGCTTCTGCATCAAATACTGAAATAAAAGGTGTGTGCCACCACAGCTGGCCCTTAGTGCATATTTTAGTTAGCGTTTCTATTGCTGTGAAAAGACACCATGACCACGGCAACTCTTGTAAAGGAAACTATTTAATTGGTGCAGGCTTACAGTTCAGAGATTCAGTCCATTATCAGCACAGCAGTAAGTATGGCAGCATGTAGGCAAGGATGGTGCTGGAGAAGGAGCTCAAAGATCCCCAGGCAGCAGGAAAAGACAGTGAGCCACTAAACTGACGCCTGGCTTAAGTTTCTGAAACCTCCCAGTCCATCCCTACCCCCACCCTCAGTGAAGACTCCCTCCAACAATGCCACTCACTATGAGTTTACTGGGGCCATTTTTATTTATATACTTCAAAAATATTTATTTATATATTATTATCCTGTGGGGACACACACACACACACACACACACACACACACACACACACACGGTGTGTGTTTGTGTGCATGCCTGCCTTGAATGTATGTGGAGGTCAGAGGACAACTTTGTGGAGTGGATTCTCTACCTTTATGTGGGTTGTGGTGATGAAACTGCTTGCCAGCTTGGACGGTAAGCTTCTTTACTTGCTGAACTATCTTAGTAGCCCTTTTCTGTCTGTTTGTTTTACTTTCTGTGGTGTTTGTTTTGAGACAGGGACAAGTTGGTCGTGAACTCAGGACACTCCTCCTCCTTACCCTGCAGGAGAATTGGGATTATGTTTTACCCCACCACACCCTGCTGTGCAGTGGATTCTTACAGGATAAAATTGTCTTAGCTTCCTTTTTGTTGCTGTGACAAAACACACCAACCAAAAACAACTTGGGAAAGGACTGATTTGGTTACACTTCCAGGTTCATCTCGGTCTATCACTGACAGCACTCAGGGCAGGAGTCCAAGCAGGAACTTTCAGGTCATTGTCCATCACTCACAGCAGTCAGGGCAGGAGTTCAAGCAGGAACTTCCAGGTCAAGGTCCATCACTCACAGCAGTCAGGGCAGGAGTTCAAGCAGGAACTTCCAGGTCAAGGTCCATCACTCACAGCAGTCAGGGCAGGAGTTCAAGCAGGAACTTGAAGCAGAAACCACGGAAGAACACTGCTTGCTTTGGTTCATGTCTTAGCTTTCTAATACATTAGAATACAGGACCACCTTCCAAGGGAATGGTGCCACCCACAATGGGATGGGTACTTTCCCGTCAATAAACAATTAAAACAATTCATTAGGGATGCTCTTACAGGCTAATCTGAGCCAAGTAATTTCTCAGTAGATGTTTTCCACACAGACTGTAGGCTGTGTCAACCTGACAGAGCTAAGGAAAAAAACAATACTCTGTACATTTTTCTATGCGTACATGATTAATATATTTGAACAATCAGGTTGCCGGGTGGTGGTGGCGCATACCTTTAATCCCAGCACTTGGGAGGCAGAGGCAGGGGGATCTCTGTGAGTTTGAGGCCAGCCTGGGCTACAAGAGCTAGTTCCAGGACAGGCTCCAAAAGCTACAGGGAAACCCTGTCTCAAAAAACCAATCAACCAACCAACCAACCAAACAAACAAACAAACCCAATCAGGTGTGGTGGCACAAGCCTTTAATCCTGGCACTTGGGCAGTATAGGCAGGCAGGATTCTATGAGTTCAAGACCAGTCTAATCTACATAAACGAGTTCCAGAACAGCCAGTGCGAGCGAGATGTCTCAAAAACAAATAAAAAAACAAACACCTCCAAAAAAAATCAAACAACAAAAAATATTTGAACAACACTGGGTAAGCATAAACCAATAGTTTGAAGTCTACTGAGGCAGGAGTGGCCAGGCCCTGCCACCTAGACTACTCTAACTGACTTAACCGCCCTTTCCAGCTTCTTGACGTGCAGGTGGCCAGGTCCTGCCTTACACAGAGAAAAAAAAATGCCTAAGATTAGGCTACAAAATCCCACCCATCCTAGGACACCCTAGATAGCTTTATGCCCACCCCACCCCCCAAAAATCTGCCTCTTGCTCAGTTATTTGCTGCTTCTCTCCTAAGTAGAGGCAGTCACCTTCTCGTGTCTTTCCCAGGAAATCTCTCGTGTGAGATTTGCCATGCCATGTGACTTTGTGGTATTCTGACTCCTGACTGCCAGGCTACCTCAGAGCTGGACCCTTACAGTGTTTCTGATGCACCTTTGAGTGTATGAACCATGTGAAAAATTAGTTGGTTTTCCATATTTGTGGATACTGAATCTGTAGCTTCTACCAACCTACAATAACCAAAACATTAAACACATGAAGATTAGATCAATTAAAAGTGTAAATGTCCTTTATTTTTAGTCATTGATCAAGAGTGGGGTAGTGCCTTGGGAAAACTATTGATGCCCAAAGTTCAGGGCATGGGGTTTTTAAAGACAAAAAAATCACATAGATTATAATTACATCTGTTGTGGGAGGTTTGTACACTGTATAAAGATGTATTTACTGTGATTGGTATGGGTAAGAGTGGAACGGCCAATAGCTAGGCAGCAGTATAGGCGGGATTTCTGGGAAGAGAATGAAGGAAAAAGAGGAATCGAGGGGCAGGAGAAGCCAGGAGACATGAAGAAAAAACAGGAGGTGTAAGATGGACGAGAGGTAAGGTCATGTGGTACAAAGTAGATTAATATAAATGGGGTAATTTAAGCTTTAAGAGCTAGTTAGAAACAAGCCTAAGCTATAGGCTGAGTTTTCATAAATAACAGTAAGTCTCCCTGTCGCTATTTGTGAGCTGGTGGCCCAACGAATAATCTGAGTATACACATTAATCTTAGATGGTGCTCAGAGTAAGACCGCAACACTGTTAGCACGGTCCAGTTCACAGTTAGCTGTCCTAATATGCTGGAGTCGTACAAGGAGAGTGGGCCTAAGCATCTTCCTCAGTTAGCTCTCCTGATATCCTGGAGTTCTGTTTCTGAGACATGTCCTTACTTTGTAGCCCATAGTGAACTCAAAATAAAAGTACTTCTCCTGCCTCAGCCTCCCAAAAGCTGGTATTAAAGTGTAGTTACCATATGGCTTGTCATAAATATTCTAAATTGACAGTTGTGTCCTGTGACTTACATTCCATTTCTCAAGCATGAGTCAATAGTCACTCAGCTGAAGGTGTGGGAACCAAGGTCAGGGTTGGCCTTCTTACTCAAAGTAGGTCAGCTAATCTCTGTGGAGGACTCGCCATTCTGCCTCCCACACAGGACTCCACCCTCAGTTTTCAAGGCCTTGTGAGTCGTTACATAAACTAGCTTTTCAAGCTGACAGGATCAGATTCTGTTGATTTGCTTTTCGGTTTTGAGAGAAGGCCGCAGACTCCTTCCGTTGCTGAAGATGACCTTGAGCTTCTGACCCTCGCACCTACCTCTCAAGAGCTAGGATTGCAGGTATGTACCACCACACCCAGTTTAGGGGTGCTGGGGGGATCAAATCAGGCCCTGGCACATAACAGGAAACTCTCCGCCAGCTGAACCATAGCCCCAAGCTAACAGCTGTCTTTATCTATCACATTAACATCAGCTTCCTGAGGCTGAGCCACTTTCTCCCTAGCATTTGGCACAAGCAGATTCCCACTTTTCTTTTTCTTCAGAGACATCTCATTCAGTAGTCCACTCTAGTGTGGAACTCACTAGCCCACACTGCCCTGCTGAGTATGGTAGCATTATGCTGGTCCCTGCCACTCGACAGGATGCACTCAGGCATTATGATGGCCAGCCCAGGGTCCTATGGCACCTATGTCACTAGGAGTCTGTATAGGGGAGTAAAGGTCCCTTTAAGAGACAAGCTCCGCCCACTCCCTATTCCCCCCCCTTCTGAAAAGGTAGGTTGGTCCTTGCCTCTTCTTCCTCTCTGAATTTCTCTTTCTCTCTTCCCTCGCCCACTCTCTTTATCTCAATAGAACTACTAGTCTGTCTGCAGGCACATGGAGGCCTTTAAAGAAGAGACAAGGCCTGCATACAAAAGTCTCTTTTTAAAGAAGTGACAAGCTCTGCCCATCCCCCCCCCACCTCTCTGCTGCTCCTCTGTAGAGGCAGGCAGGTCTTTGCGCTTCCTGTCTCTCTGCCTGTCTCTCTCTGCCTCTTCTCTTCCACTACGCCTCTCCCCCTTTTCATTCCTTTATCCTTCTAACCCTTTTCATTCCTTTATCCGGCCCTCTGATGGTGGCGCACACCTTTAATCCCAGCATTTGGGAGGCAGAGGCAGGAGGATCTACATAAGTGCGAGGCCAGCCTGGTCTATAAGAGCTAGTTGCAGGACAGGCTCCAAAGCTACATAGAGAAATCCTGTATCAAAAATAAAATAAAAAAGAATAAAAAAGTACAAATCCATTCCCTTTATCTCAATAAAACCTCTCTGAGTGAGCACTGTCTGCATGGCGTGTCTATCTCTCACCTGCCATGGGTTCTTACCTGCCCACCCACTGTGGGACTCCTTGGACCTGCTAAGGTCCCTTTCTTGCCATGTAACAGTGCTGGGATTGCAGGCATAAGGCCCCATCTCCGGCTTTAGCATCCTCTTGATAGCTAGCTGATCTATTGCAGGCATTTGTTGTAGTGCTAGGAAATGAGTTGGTAAAGATGGAGAAGCACCATGATTCAGGAGAGGTTTAGTTCTTAGTGCAGTGGTGCGGGAGAACGCGAATAAAGCAATCCCACATTAATTTCAGAACTGAGGACTGATACGGGGGACTTTACTTAGGGAGGACTCACAGATCACAATCCTTTGCATGGATGGGGAGCAGGAACAAACCCAGCATTCAGGCAAGATAGGAGAGAGAGAGAGAGAGAGAAAGAGAGAGAGAAGAGAGAGAGAAGAGAGCATGCGTAGGTGCACGTAGGAGCACAAGTTCTTACCTTTTTGGTACCTAAGGCCACACCCAACCTGGTCCAGCCTCTCAAAGACCATCATGGTGGTGTATACCATACCTACAACCTCTGCTTGAGAAGCTAGAGGCAGGAAAGACCAGAGTTCAAAGTCAGCCTCTGTTGTTTGTTTGTTAGCCTCTAAGTTTGAGGCTAACCTGGGCTACATGAGCTCCTGTCTTAATGAGCCACAACAGCAATAAAAAACTGAGCCCATACACAGTGAGCGCCTGTAGTCCCAGAGTTGAAAGCTGAGGCCAGCCTGATTTACAGACACCGGGACAGCAATTAGGGAGGCATTGCTGACTGAAGCAGTAGGGTGGGGATTTGGGAAGACGCCTGTGCTAGAGGAGCATGAACTCCTAACTCTGGAATCCCAGCCAATGGGAAAAAGAGAGCAGGAATTTCTCATCATTAGGGACTTGAGAATCACAAAGTAACCATTTTTGCCTTTTTTCTATGCTGGCGTCTCTTTCTGCAGAATGGTATAAAAAACCTGATTTCCTTCACTTCTTTTGAATCTATTAGAGCAGGTCTTGTTTCTCATCCCTCTTGCCACCCCTACATCTGACCAACACTACTTAAAATTCAAAGTTCTCATAACTGCCTCAGTTCTGATGAGCCATGTCAACAGTCAGCAAACCTTCTCCCTGTGGGCAGTTTTCTTGTTGAGGACAAAACTCAGGAAATTACTGAAAGAGGTGCAGAGAGGACAGGAGGGGACCAATTGCTTCTGTCTCCTCTGCTCACTGAGTCCAGATGAACTAGCGTCCTGGCCCACCACCGTGTTCTCCAACCAGGAAGCTCCCACTGAAGCGTTGGTGTCTAGTTTTTCTTGGTGCTTCACTACATGGAGATGATTGTCGAAACCACGGCCCACACGATTAACTCCTGTCTCCAGCTCCCTTGGTCTCTTTAGTGGTTAGGGTGACTCAGAGTCCCACCACCTAATCCAATAATCACATGGTTGTTCTTTCTGAGGTTGTCGTGGGCTCAAAGATGAGTCACTCTAGCATCATAGGAAAGATGCATCTCCCTGGGAGTTCAAAGGGCTTTTGAAGTCCTGTGCCAGAAACAAGTGAAAATTATGCACGAGCACGCGTGTGTACACACACACACACACACACATTTATTTACTATACATGCTATATCTTCATGTCATATCAATTTTTAAAAAGAATGTGGCACTTTGGCTGAGATAAAATGAGCAGGCTTGAGGGAAAAGGAATTGTATTTTTTTTTTTGTTGTTATTGTTTTGAGATAGGTTCTTAAGCCAGGTAGTAGTGGCACACGCCTTTAATCCCAGCACGTGGGAGGCAGGGCAGGCGGATCTCTGTGAGTTCAAGGCCAGCCTGGTCTACAAGAGTGTGTTCCATGACAGGCTCGAAAGCTACACAGAGGAAAAAAAAAAAAACTAGACTGACCTTGGGTTTATGGCAATCCTTTTCTCTTTTACTCTCCTAAATTCTAGGATTACACTCAAAATTCATCATGCCTGTCTGGGAAAAGAAATGCTTAAATAAAAGAAGGACAAAGAGAACAACTCAGATGAGACATATTAAAAATACAAAGTGTTAAAGAAAATAAGAACTCTTTTTGTTAGGAAAAAATGAGAGTTTTTGGATGAGGAGTTGTGAAGGCTACCTCGCTCAACGGCAAACATTGTGAATGCCAGGCTAATGACTGGGAGAAACGTCTGTTGATTAGAAGTTCAGCAAAGAAGGGAATGAATGGCATGACTAGTGTTCTAGGATGCCCGTGGGGAGCACAGAATGGAGCAGAGAAAGCCAAGGAGTGAGAAAGATATGTCACAGAATTATTTTTAAACTGAACTGATCTTTGCGCACGGTGTTTTGTCTGCATAGAGCGTGTTCCTGGTTCCAGAAGAGGATGCAGAATCCTCTGGAAAGGTAGTTACAAGCAGTTGTGAGCTGCCCTGTGGGTGCTGAGAATTAAACCTGGCTTCTTTGGAAGAGCTGTTAGTCCTCTTTACTGCCAGACCATCTCTCTACTCCTTTAAGTATACGGTTTTTAAAACACAACTTTCCTACAACTATAGAATGAGCATGTGCCAATGGTAATTGTTTAACTCATTAGTGAACTGATGTCAGTTGATTTAAAGAAGTATAGAACAAATCCACCTGCAAAGGGACACAGAAATACATTTTCAGGGAGCATGGTGGAATACACTTGGAATCAAAAGCACTTTTGGCTGTTGAAGGCAGGAGGATCGGGAGTGCTAGGCCAGCCTAGGCTACTTGGTAAGTTTGAGCCGACCAGGACTACATGCAACTTTGTTTCAAAACAACAACAATGTATCTGCTCGGTTTGAGACAAAGTTTAGAAGGTATTAAACCTTTCTACAGGCAAGAAATCATTTGTCCTTCTCTGGCAAAAACCTACAGCTTAGTCTGTAACTTCACAAAATAGGTCCCAATCAATAGTAAGTATCAAATTACATGAGCTGATACACTTAGAGGAGGTTCTCCAACACTAGAAGGTGCAAAGTGACCAAGAAATCGTGTGGGAAGGATAACTGAGTTCCCCGGTGCAGTAAGACGAGGTGGAAGTGATGCTGTGTACAGAGGCCCATATTCATGAGTTCTGAGGTATTAACAACTGGGAAGGATGGGGTGTGAGGTGCATGCCAATGTCTTCAGCTGCTCAGGGGACTGAGGGTGACAGGCTGGGTGAAGAGTGGCAGAGCACAAACATTCTGGAGCTAGACAGTCTTTGTCAAAGATCCATTTAATTAAATTATTTAGGCAGGATCTTCCGCTTGCTCTTGAACTTGCCCTTCTCCTGCTGCAGCCTCCCAAATGCTGGGATTACAAATGTGTGGCCACACCAGGCAAAAACCTAATTTTTACATGTGGTATGTCAGAGCCCATAGGTGACTGTGCTGGCTAGTTTTATGTCAACTTTACACAGTGGGAACTTCATAAGAGGAAATGCTCCACCATATTGGCCTGTGGTGTATTTTCTTGATTGATGGTTGATGTGGGAGGGCCCAGCTCAACGTCGGTGGTGTCACCCCTGGCCTGGTAGTCCTGGCTGCTATAGAAAAGCAGGCAGCATTCCCCTATGGCCTCTTCACTGGCTCTCCATCCAGGTTCCTGCTCTGATTTCCTTCAGTGAGGGACTAATGTGGAGCTGGAAACGAAAATAAATCCTTTCCTTCCCTACGCTGGTTTAGACCATAGTGCTTTATCGCAGCAATTGAAACCCTAAGTATAACAGCAGATATGACAGGACAGATGCTGACTATTATATTATATTATATTAGTAGCCAATAGTATGTCAGTACAAAGAATAAAAAATTACAAGGGGGTGGGCATAGTGATCCCAGCTCTCAGGAGGCAGAGGCAGGCAGATCTCTGTGAGTTCAAGGCCAGCCCAGTCTGTATAGTGAGTTCTGAGTCAGGCAGATCTATGCAATAAAATCACATCGCAAAATCAAAACTTAATAGGGTACACATTATCAAAATTGCACTAAGTGTTGATCAGTTTTCCTAAAGAAAAGATTTTATTTGGGCAGTAAGAAAAGTAACCTGGTCTACAAGAGCTAGTTCTAGGACAGGCTCCAAAAGCTACAGAGAAACCCTGTCTCCAAAAACCAAAAAAAAAAAAACCCAAAAAACAAACAAACAAACAAAAAAAAGAAATAGCAAAGCTCTTTCCTAAAACTTGTGGACATGATCTATAGTTCAATTCATTTATCAATTTGAAGTTAACTAAGGAGGGTGGTGAGTAGCTTACTGGTAAAGTGCTCACCTAGCAATACAAGGCCCAGGTTCAATTCCCAGCACCACAGACAGTAGGTGTTGCTGCACCAGGGCAGCCTGGATGCCAAGTCTGGCGTGGGTGTGTGTGTGCTGGGATTGAGACAAAGAGGCTTCTTTTCAGGTGGAAGAACAGCAACCTTTGCTTTTCCCCAAGCTAAAGCCTTTTATATCTCTACTGCTTCTGTGGAAAACCACCACCAGAAAGAACACAAACATCCTTGTCAATTACAGACCATAAGGAAGTTCCACTGTCGGTCAGGGGGAGTGAGGGCAGCTAGATCACAACAGGTGTGGTAACGCAACCTGGAATCCCAGGACCCAGGTGGTAGAGGCAGTAGGGCCAAGAATTCGTGGCCAGTTTCTCCAATAAAATGAGTTCAAGGCCCTTCGGGGCTATATGTTATCTGTTTCAAAATAATTTCCTGTTTTGATCTTGTAGTTCATAGGATATACATTTATTGTTTTCTTTTTTCTACTTATTTATATTTCAGACAGAGTCTTTCTCAAAATCCTGACTGTTCTGAAATTTGTTATATAGACTAGGCTAGTTTTAAGCCCAAACTTAACTCCAGCCTCTTACTCCTGTGTGTTGGGATTAAAGGTATATACTCACACTTATTTAGTTATGGTGTATGTTTGTATATGTGTTCTACATGTGTGAGTAAATATATTGAGGTCAAAGGATAATTATAGGAGTTGATTATCTCCTTACACCAAGGGTCCCAGAGACTAAACATGGCAGCAAATGCTTACCAGCTAAGTCACCTCAAAGGCCTGGTATATGTCTCTTAATATAGTGTTAAAATACTTACAAAATATGGAATATATCTAATTTAAATGTGAATGTTAATAAGATAAAATAACAAATCCTTTTGATTGTCAAATGATTCTGGAAAACCCCTAAGATCCCCACAACACCCTCACCCCTCCCTGGTTTTCTCTGTGTAGTGATGGCGATTCTGGAACTCACTGTACAGAATAGACTGGCCTTAAACCCAGAGATCCCCCTGCCCTGCTTTCGAAGCACTGGGATTAAAAGTATGTGCCACTACCTCCTGGCAAGATCCCAAAAGTCTTAAAGGCATTTTCCCCCTTTAAATATGTCCTCATTTTTGGAAAAACAAAAAACAAAGCAAAACAAACAAAAACCCCTAAACCTAGCAGAAATGTGAAAACCTAGCAGAGACCTGGTCATTCACATAAGCTAGGCTCCTGTGTGTCTTACAATAAGAACACAATTTAATTGACTGTAGGAGGAGGACTTTAGTCTCCTTTTTAACTACCAGAGTTTTTTGGCAAAGATTTTTTTCTTTTCTTTTCTTTATTTTTTTTTACTTTCTATCTTTCAAAAGAGCTAAAAGTTCTGAGAAAATAAAAGCAGGAGGGACAATTTCAGGGTCCAAGGGACTAGCAAGAAGAGAGGAGGAAGTCCTGGCAGGGACTGTTTCAGAGTCCCAGGGACTAGCAAGAAGAGAGGAGAAAGTACTGGCAGGGGCAGTTGGGGTGTAATGGTAAAATTATGTCCTTGTGAACATTAACTGTTGCAGTGATATTTCATTTGTGTCTTAATAAATAAAGCTATCCCAAAGATCAGAGATTAAAACAGTCCCACTGATTAGTTTACATACCGGGCAGTGGTGATACACACGTTTAATCCCAATAACTACGCCAGTTTGCCATAGAAACTGGGTGGTGGGGTGCACGCCTTTAATCCCAGACCTAGAGAGGAATATAAGACGGGAGGAGACAGCTCTCAGTCAGTCTCATTCTGAGGATTCCTGGAGGCAGGATTTGCATTTTGGACTGAGGTAGAGGTAAGAGCCAGTGGCTGGCTGTTTTGCTTTTATGACCTTCAGGTTGAGCCCCAATTTCTGTCTCTTGGTTTTTATTAATTGTACTACAAACTACCAATTGACATAACCTAGACTCACCTGGAAAAAAAAAAAAACCTCTCATTAATTGTTTTTATCAGGTTGGTCTGTGGTTGGGTTTTTGTGGGATTGTCTTGATTGCTAATTGATGTATGAGGCTCAGTCCACTGTGGGTGGTGACACCCCTGGACAGGGGACCCAGGCTTTATTTGTAAGGATGCCACCTAAGGATGAGTCCGGTAACCGGTCAGTGGCATTCCACCACGGTTTCTGCTTCAGCTCTTGCTTCAGTTCTGTCTGGACCATTCTCAGTGATGGCGCGTGACTTGGAAGTATAAGCCAATTAAGTCCTTTCGTCTCCTAAGCTGCCTTTTGTCATCGCATTTTGTCAGAGCAATAGAATGGGAACCAGAACAATACTGTATGAATATATCACGGTAGGGTCTTCATTAACACACATGAAGAAAAAAATAAACAGTAATGGTAGTAATCCGTTACAGGATTTGAGGCTCGTTCCACAGTAGGGAATCTATTCCTTATATTTTTAACCTAAAAACTCATGACTTTGGGGTCATGGGCAGGTGTAGTGTCTCCTTCTATTGCTGCTTTGCTACCTGGACATAGCATTA